TCTCTCTCTCTCTCTCTCTCTCTCTCTCTCTCTCTCTCTCTCTCCCCACACACACACTCTGACTGTATCTCTGTCCTGTGGCCCAAGGCAGGTGCCTCTCTCAGTGCGTTGCTTGGTGACCCTTGGCTGCCCAGGCTAGTGATTATGCAGCTGCCCGGGGCGGGCAACTCCTCTTACCCTTTGATTAGAGCCTAACCTTGCCCACCTCAGCCTCTAATTTCCCAGGTACCCCCACCATCTCCACCAAGGGTGCCCTGGGTTGTGGGAGCCACAGCCCCAGGAAGAGACAGGGTTGGCATTCAGTATATGGACTGCCTTTTCCTACAGGATGGGAGGATCTGCACCAGCTGAGGTAGCTCTGCTCCTCCAATTCAGGCACTGCACTGGGCAGGCAGGCAGGCAATAGGTGACAGCGGCCCTGGTCTCTCCTCCCAGCCTCTAACTTCAGCATCAGGGAAACAGGTTTGGGATGTTGAACTGGGGCTCTGCCCTAATGCATGGAGAAATCAGGCAGACACCACGCTGCTCTGAGGGCGAACGTTAAAGATTAAGACATTGGGGCCAGGGAGATGGCTCAGTGGAATAAGCGCTTCCCTGGCAAGTGCAAGGACCTGAGTTCAATCCCTGGTTCCGCAAAAAAAAAAAAAAAAAAAAAAGATTAAGACACTAATCCAACTCAAGAACACGCACACACAGTGGCTCTTAAACATTTTGGGTGGTGCTGGGAGAAGTGAAAGCCTCCATCCTCTCTCCCATGAGGATTCATTAGCTAACTGTTCATTTCACCACTACAGGAAACAATCCAGAGGTGGGCAAAGGCACCCACGTGATTATCCCAGTGGACAAAGGGAGCAGTGGGGGCTGGAAGGCCCATGTGACAAAGGCCAGTGGGCAGAATCTGAACCTGCGGGTCCACATCTCTCCTAATGCCATCATTGGCAAGTTTCAATTCACAGTCCGCACACGCTGTGAGGCTGGAGAGTTCCAGCTGCCCCTTGACCCCCGCAATGAGATCTACATCCTCTTCAACCCCTGGTGCCCAGGTGAGCCACCTGGGGTCAGGAGCAGAGGGTGGG